AATCTTTTAATGCAGTGGTTTGGTTAAAAGTTCAAAATTCATTGTTTCAAATTTTATCCCAGCCTTTTGTGTTGACTTCATGGCTCCAATCGAAACATTTGGGACTATAATAGGATGCCTAGGCCTGTTTTTATTTTTATTTTTTTCGCCCTGTCGCTTCATATTTTTTCTGAAAAAATCCGAGAACCACAAATTAAATTGGTGTGGCCTTAAGTAAGAAAATTACCTACCTACCTACCTAGTACTTACTTGACCTTCTGGTCGTTGGGGAGACAAGGTAGAAGGAAACTAGAGAATAAGACTAAGCAATGCAAATAGCAGATTAATATACATTATTGACATCTCTGAAGTTCCTTGCTAACTTACATTGTTTGAAATACAAAGTACATACACTTCAATGTTTGAAAGCAACTATCAGCAAGTTCGGAAAAAAAAAAATTAAATTCTCTGATATGTTAACGACATCCAATGAAATTTAAAACAAAAAAATATTCTAGATGAATAATCTGTCTGATATTGATATTAATTTTACTGAAATTTCTTTTTTGCCATCATTTCATACTTGAAGTGTTTGAAATAGCCCCAAAACAAGCCCTTTATGTTTTTTTTGGTACAGACTATAATACAAAGCAAGTAACTGTTTTATGTCAGCGACAATTAGTGCTGCATATATACCTAAACCCACATTTAGGTTCAGGTCCGGATTCAAGTCAAGAGGTTTAGGTTCAGTTCCAGACTTAAACCCATGGCATATACAAATTGCATGTTGGCAACCTTGCAATGTTGTCTGGGTGAAACTTTGGCCACATAACATGGAGGCCGACACTTGACAATGCCCGATGGCAATGTTTTCTTCATTTTGCAGCAAAGATTTTGCAATCTACGGAAGGTTTTAGGTGGTTTGGAAAGAAAAGGGGTATGTGAAATGGTCTTTTATGGTAATCAGTCCAGACTCGGTTCTTGACTTTTAGGTTTTTGGACTTGAACCTAAACATTCTTACAAGTCCGGATCCAAGTCCAGTGAACCGGTATGCAGCACTAGTGACAATGCATTTTTGCCTCACAGATATCAGTAAGCTTGTGGCATTTTTCTTGTTGAAAGAATGAAGATGTGATAAAAAAGGTACACATACCTGGAGCACAGGACTGGTTCACAGCAGGTACCACTGAAGGGGAAAGAAAACCATTGGTTAGCATCATGCAACAGCACTATCAGGTTGTGGTACCACCACAAAATACTAAGTATGTAAACAAACATGGCTGACACTGTTTTTCTAGCTTGTGAACACACTCTTGTAAGGCATCATATTTTAGCACCAAAAGTAGGGTTGATTCAACTTACTTGAAATTGTAAAGAAATGTCCAGAAAATTGACTTTTTATATATAAGGCCACACCAATTTAATTTCTTGGTTAACAGATTTGCCCGCTTCATTTTTTTCTGATTTGCAAAAAAAAAATTCAGAATCAACAGCAAAATGCTCATATTTTGCCCTGAACAGTCGAAAACAGTCCTTTTCTTCCTAGTTGTTACAGTTTTTTCATCTTTCAATGCATAGTATTAAAAATTCAAAAATTTTGAACCAGCCTGGTGTATTGACTTCATGGCTCCTATTGTACCATTTTGGGCCATAATAGGATGCCTAGGCCTGTTTTTATTTTTTTATTATTTTTTTGCCCGCTCCATTATTTTTCTACAAAAATCCGTTAACCAAGAAATTAAATTGGTGTGGCCTAATGTATTAAATAAATGCAGCTTAAAGCACTACAAACTACACATACTGACCCACAGTGACCTCAGCTCCCTGTGACCACCTCTCCCCTCCCCTGTTCCACACTCGGCACCGGTACACTCCCTGGTCAGACGCCTTGGCCTGGTCATACTGGGGAAATAAACCAATAAAACATGCATCAGTCCAGACAGGGTACAAATCCTGGTCTGAGGCCTTTTCCTTGTCATACTTCATACTTCATGCATCATCATACATCAATCAGTAACAAACCAGGGGCTGGAGCATTTGTGCTAATGTCTTTGTTAAAACTTCTTGTATTCGTAATCCTTAGAGCACTGAGTTTGTTTGAGCTGACCTGTAACACACGCTCGTACATGTACGTGTCTGCTGCTCTCACCAGAAACATTTTGTAAATAGGTTACCTGATATCCCTTTATATCTTATTCCTGATATGACTTTTAGAATTGTATTTTATCATGTATTATGAATTTGATACTTGGATTTTAAAGGCGGATCTGTAAGCAATGACGCAATTCAGGTGTTGATTTTATATTGTACCTGCTATGTCATTGGTAATAAAATCTGAATCTGAATCTGTCTTTGATATTTGTCGGTGCTACGATCTCGTTGTCTCCGGTGGTTTGGGCGCGTCAAGCGTGCCAGTGGCTGCATCAACACCATCACAGAATTGCAGTTGCCAGGCAACAGAGGTCATAGTAGACCAAAGAAGACATGGATGGAGTGCATCCAAAATGACATTAGAATTGTGTGGACTGTCCAACATTGACCCACTCCACTGTGTCACATGGAGACGTGGAGTCCAGTCCAGCTGACTGCTGCCCACCCCTTAGACAGGGAAGCCAGCAGCAGAATAATCTCACCACCAAGCATTAAGGCCCGGGTTCGATTCCCGGTGTGGGAAACACTGTATAAAACAGGAGGAGCGAGTAGAAATAGATAAATCTCATCCCCAAGGCCCGGGTTTGATTCCCGGTGTGGGAACCACTGTAAGAAACAGGAGTAGCGAGTAGAAACAGATAAAAACCACAGTGACTGGTCCCGGGCCGGGGTTTGAACCCACGACCAAACCCGGGCACCAGTCCACACGCCGACGCTCTAACCACTCGGCTAAAAGGGTACATGTACAGTTGGTAGCGCCTATAACCCCCCCACTGTTACATAATGTATGTGTATTCCACAACTCACATATATCTCCCTCCTGGTCTCCCCCTGTAGCAGCGTGTTGTCCTTGTACCACTGGTAGAACGGCGCAGGTTTTCCCCGCGCTCCACAGGACAGACTCACGGGTCTGTTCATCTCCACTCGTACCGGGGACGGATGGACGGCAATGGTGGGGGGGTCATCGTACTGGGCCGAGGCATCTGGAACAAAATCATCAGAAATATTACAATGTTATATTCATATTACAGGGGAGGGGTGCACCGCTATGGTGGGGGGGGTCATCGTACTGGGCCGAGGCATCTGGAACAAAATCATCAGAAATAGTAGAGTAAAAATAATATTTATATTACAGGGGAGGGGTGAACGACAATGGTGGGAGGGTTGTCATACTGAACTGAAGCATCTGGAACAAAATCATCAGAAATATTAGTCTAAGAATATTATCAGTTGGTAGCGCCTATAAACCCCCCACTGTTACACTACTTCCCCTTCTCTTTTCAAGATTCGTCCTCGAATCTTCTGAATTCGACATCCCTGGAGCGGGGATTCTTAAATTTGCCATAACTCTCAGGGCTGGTGTGGGAACCACAGGATTAGGAGGAGCGAGTAGAAACAGATAAAAACCCTCATGGTCCTGGTTCAGGGTTCAAACCCATGACCTCCCGAGCACCAGCTTCAGACTCCAACGCTCTAACCACTCTGCTGAAAGGTCTAGACCCGTCGGCCGGGTCAGTTGGTAGCGCCTATAAACCCCCCACTATTACAGTGTTAACACAGTTTGCTACAATGTAGTCTGAAACAAAATTTACACATGATCCACATCTTACTTGTTGCAGGAATGACCGTCAGCTCCACCCACTCAGTGAAGACGTAGCTCTGCGGCTTCCTGGGGTCCTTGGAAGACACCTTGTGGATCCTGCAGATGTACTGCCCCGCGTCTTTAGGACGGGTCTCCTCGATCCGCAGCACACTGTCCGTTCCCATGGCGATCTCCTGGTTGCCATGGTACCACTGGTAGCGTGGATACGGGAAGCCGACCGCCTGACACTTCAGCTCTACCGTGTCCCCCTCCATGGCTGATACAGCCTCGGGCTGCCGCGTGATCTGCAATGCTTCTGCAGGGAAAAGTTTGTTTTTTTAACAGAGTGGTTCAATGCAATGCCTATACGACCACTTCTTGGCATCGAACTAGAAATATGAGAGAAACATGGCTATGTCAAGAGATGGCGGTGAACGTTTGATTTGAAAGCTTGTAGATTGTAGTTTGGTGGGAAACACTTGTCAGGGAGGGAATTCCAAAGCTTGGCCGTACGGGGAAAGAAACTGTCACTGTAAAAAGATTTCGTACAAAAAAGTGCAGTAATTATGTCCTCCTTTCACATGTCATCAAGGTAACTGCTGTTGGATTACATTATGTAGCAGGACAGAGTTGGAGGGGCTTGTCACCACAGTCGAGTAACATGAATGTGTTTGTGAAAGAATAAGCAGGACAGTACTGTAGTTTGTTAGGCTAGACCATGTGAAGGTAAACATTAACAGGTAATATGTATTTTGCTCTACAAATGCTGCCTTTCTAGTTTTATTCTTTTTCCATCTTTCATTCATTGCTGCTTTCATTCTCTCCTATTTTCTATAATACATGTTATTTGATTATTAATTTTCCTCCATGTTTATTCATCAGATCCTTTCTTGATTCTTTCACCTTTACAGTTCTTCCATTATTTCTACCTCTATTTTTCATCTCTTCTCTTGCTAAAGATTTTTATCAGCCGTACCTTCTTGTTTGAGGAGCATGAGTGCCCTCTCGTGTTGTAGTTTCTCCAGGTATGAGATGAGTTGTCGTACAGTCTTCCCCCGCCTGCCCAGGTCCTGTAACAGCAGTTTACTGGGACTGCCTCCACTCTGTAGAGTCGCTAAACCAAACTGCTGCTCAATCTCATGTTTCCTGAGGATAATATCAGCGTCTGAGTTCAGATTTCATAGTCTGAGTTCAGACTTTTGGGTCTCAGAGTAAAAGTTAGATTTCAGGATCTGAGCTTAGATTCACTACTGGTATTCACATATTGTAATTAACTCCAATTGAGAGCATTTTACCCAAGCTTGACATAGTCTAACAGTAGGTGACTTGGTCGAACACCAGCCAACCACAGTCGACCTTGCTCCCGTTGGTTGTGAGGAGTTTGGCTAGACTGTTCTGGAGGTCATATTCGGCTATACGTATGTGACAGGTGCTAAGTTGCCCCCACCCCACCCAATGCAGGCCTTTAAATTCATGCATGCACTTTTTCGTAAGGAGTAATCAGGCCTTTTTAGTCTTCATAATCCATAGGCAGCCTCCCCAAAAATCAACGTTATTCATAATAGTATTAACCGCAGAGCGTAAAGTCGTAATCAGCTCTGAGACTTAAACGTAATTCGTAATTGGCGGCGAAAAGTTTTAGTAATTTCTGATCACTACCCCCAATTCAGGCCCTCATACTAGTACAATGTAGGAGGGCCTGCATGCCCTTTTTCTTAAGGCGTAATGAGGCCTTTTTAGTCTTCGTAATCCATAGGCAGCCTCCCCAAAAAATCAAAGTAATTCGTAATAGTACATGCCAAGCGTAAAGTCGTAATCAGCTCTGAGACTTTAACGTAATTCGTAATCGGCGGCAAAAAGTTTGCATAATTCGTAATCACTACACCCCCCCCCCCCCCCCATGCTGGCCCTCATACTAGTACAATGTAGTACTTAACCCTACTTATACGTTGATGAAGGTTAGACATCCAGGTAATACGATACGCCAAAAAGCAGTTACTCAAGCAACTGGATATGATTTTGAAAACGTCAGACGTTTCAGCTAGTATCCACTAGCTTTCGTCAGTGACTGAGAGACCAGAGGGGAAATGCAGGTTTATAAGCACAACCTATTGATTGATATGCAAATAAAGTGCATTAATTGCATTATCTTGTCTTGACGTGTCTGACTTTTGTTCCATTTTCGACTTCCAAATATTTGTCTTCACTTTATTTGCATATCAATCAATAGGTTGTGCTTATAAACCTGCATTTCCCCTCTGGTCTCTCAGTCACTGACGAAAGCTAGTGGATACTAGCTGAAACGTCTGACGTTTTCAAAATCATATCCAGTAATGCTTGAGTAACTGCTTTTTGGCGAACCCTACTTATATATCTTGTCGGGGATGACATCCAGAAGGTTCCTCCAGCTGCACGGAGGCTGGTCCAGCAGTTTGCACAGATCCTTGAACACGGAGTACGGCTTGATGTCACAGATGTTGATGGACGGGTTGATAGGCTGGTGGGAGGGGAGCGGCATGGTGTCGCAACTCTCCAAACCCTTCAACTCTTATTAATCTTAGCCTCTGAAGACTGGCCTGTAGAGAACAAAGATTATACTAGAAAGGTAACATTTGCAAAGCAAAATGCATAATGTTTACCTTCGCATATGGTTAATTCTTGCTCTGTTAAAACTTGCTCTGTTAATTCTTACTCAAATACATTCATATATATGGTCAGACAGGAGTATAAATCCCTACTCCAATAAAATTGCAACATTATGTAACCCAACACCTGTTACCATCTCTTTACTCAGAGAGTTTTTAGTTCTAACAATACCATCATGGTACCTATGAACTCACCTTTAACTCTTGCACTGGTTGAGTCTTCTCTTGAACTATTTGTAGCTATGTGCCGTAACCATATTCATCGAAGGTCTGTCAAAGAAGTGAAAGAGAGAGAAATGGTGTAAAAAAAAAAGTGTCCCGGCAGTGTCCCGGCAGTGTTAAAGGCATCAAACACAATTTCAGTTTGGCAAAACAAAAGATATCCTGGATAAGGGAATCTGACATTGCTGTTTGCTGTTGACATTTCTTGGCACAATTTCGTTATCATGTTTATCAAGTTTATTTAATTTAAGCGTTTGAAGTAGCCCCCAGACAAAATACACGAGGAGTTTGGAGTCCCTTAATTTGTAACAAATGTACCACCAAGATAGCTAGAACTAGCTTTTGAATACGATTTCCTGTCATTGACATTGACTCACACTCTGTCACATATCTATTGCTATGGGATATTGTTGATTCATTAAAATTAAAAAAATAACAGAAAGTTGCCTTTGAAATTTCACTTTTACTGCTTTGGGTGTCTTTAAAATATTTTCATACTGACCCCTTTTGGAATGGACTGAAAGCACGAGAACTAAGAAGAACAACAGCGACCATGAAGCTTGGGGTTTCAAGGAAGAAGTGACAGCTGCCTCCCAAAAGTGCCCTAAAAACAACAACAGACCACTTAAAACATACTAGACTGTTTCTCTCCTTTCTATCGTACCTGTACGCACAAACTAACCCTTCAGAAAACCACCAGGCCTAGTTACACCCCCATAAAGTTAGAAATATCGCTAAAACCGGCTACACCTACCTCAGAAAACGTGCACACTTCCTCAAAGTCGTGGTCAAACCCGGAAATGAAAAAGGGGAACCCCGCGCTGCATGACGTCACCGATGACGTCACGAAAGGTCAGAGTTCACCCCAGCACTGCTGACACCTGTTGGATTGTGTGAATCGCCGAGATTTCGTAGCCTCCACAGCATGCCAAAAACTGGGGGTCTTCGGGACCTTTTATGTGCTACTTTCTGATTGCATATAGACAACATAGCCGGCCTGGTTGAATTTCCCCCGTTTTTAGAACTGAGCTAATCAGAAAACAGCCGAAGACCACCAAACCCACAGTTCTATAAGCCTGCTACGGAGGCTATTTCGAACTGCCTCGATTTTCCAAAATCAGGCGAAAATTAAAGTGCGCGCTGATATCATCCATAAAAATTACTTGCTGTGGCCTAATTAGCGAATTTGGTGATCCGAGAAACAGTTTATAGAATGGGTGTAGTCTCGGGTAACTAAACGATCGTAAAGTACTAAGTGTGCCGCCATCAAACCTCTACCAGGCTTCGGGAGGAGGCTGGTAAGGGTAGAAATCGGCCAAATAGAGCGATAACATGCCACCCTCCAGCAGGCCAACTCCCGGATCCCCTCGGCATGTTATCTCTCTATTTGGCCGATCTCTACTCTTTCCAGTCGCCTCCCGAAGCCTGGTAGAGGCTTCGCCACACAAAGCCTTGCCCCCAGGGCAATGAACATTTAGTCAGGCGGCAGTGACTTTTTCCTCGAATGCATTTTATTATAAGCAGGAAAAAAGTGACAATTGTTGGCTAATGACTTCCTTTTCCTGGTTAAGATAAAGTAAGGTAAATTACGGCAAATTAGAGCCTATATATACGATGAGCTAAACTTGTTGATTATAAAGTTAAATTCAGGATTTTTAACAAGTACTGTAGTCCGACGGAAAAAACAAAAGGGTGGCCATACTAAGGGCCCGTTTTCAACCAAACTGAAGTCACTGAGCGACCCAAATTTTATTTGTGTGACAATTAATTTCATAAATGTGATATGATACAACAAGTACCACACAAAGCAGCTCCACAAAGACAACAAAACCACACAAAACGTCAAAAACAACGTTCTCAATCCATGAGATTCGTCAAGTGATCTGTCAGAGGTTTGGCTGCTGAGCGATCGCGAGCGCTAGCGCTAGTAGGAATGTGTTAACCCCTACCAGGCTTCGGGAGACACCGGCAAAATGTACTCTCTAAAAGGGACCAAGTTATCTCTCTATTTGACCGATTTCTACTCTTTCAGCCGCCTCCCGAAGCCTGGGGGAACACGCTATTTTGAAGTGTGCTGCATGTCTAGCTTTCCCATAGAGTAGACCGGCCCACCTCGGCCGGTCAAAACATGAACAATGGAAGTATTTGACGGTCGACATGCAACCACTCTCTCATTGGTCGAGCCGCTAATTACCCTGTTATCATTGGTTGAAGTAGTAATTGTGATGGGCAGTCAGAAAAGCCATTATGTTGTACTTACAAGTCAAACCGCCTGCCTTGGGTACATAGCCGTGGACAGCAGCGTGTTTTCCTTGAAAAAAAAACAGTTAGAAGTACATGGCAATATCTCGCTTCCTTTTGTAGCTTTTGACAGATACAAGTATCAAACCAGGCGAAATAAAACTGGTACATGTAAACGTCCTCTTCTTGGTAAACCACCAGTAGTTTTCAACGGGTGGTCCGAAATAACAATGCTTAGATCGCGAAGAGACCTAAGCACCAAAATTCATACATGTTATGCCCACGGGTATTAAACGCCACTATAACTTAGTGTACTGAGCGGAAGCGCACATGTGCCTTCCATGAAAACAATTAGTTTAAGAACAAACGTAACTGTTTATATACAAACTTTTTCAAGAATAGATTAAAGCACAACAACAACAACAACATCAATGCTTTCAATCCTCGTTACCTGTTATCACATTTCAAAACATACATGTACAACGTTTTAAGCTTAAATTTAAACCAAAGGGCAGTAATTATAACTTCCAGGTCATCTGAAAGGACTTACAGGTCATGAATCCGATCGCCTACGCTCCAGGCTCTAAAGATACCTTTTGTTTTTATGCAAATGCTTACGTAGAAAGAAGGTGTATCACAGACGCCTCGTCTTTCTTAAAACCAGTTGTCTAAGTCGGTGTGTGTGTGTGGCCGTGTGCGGAGCGTAACTTGTGTGTGTGCCCGAACGTGTGTCGCGATGGCGCTTCCACTTTTCGTAGCCTTCGCGTTTGTTCTGTGCGGTAGTTTCCTCTCCAAGTCCGCCCAGTCGTTTAACCTGACCATCCTGCACACGAACGACGTGCACGCCCGGGTCGAGGAGTTGAACGCCTTCGGAGGCAGGTGCCGCCCCGGCCGCCCGTGCTACGGAGGGTTCGCCCGGCTGGGCGCCAAGGTCGCGGAGGTGCGGGGCAGGGACGACAACGTTCTGTTCCTGGACGCCGGGGACCAGTTCCAGGGGACGCTGTGGTACTACTTCTTCAAGAGTCCCGTCGTGGCTCAGCTCATGAACAAAGTTACCTACGATGCCATGGTAGGTGACGTCTGGCCTTTTAAATTTTGGTTTACTACTAGTATGTTCCAGAAGGCACTGTCACATTCGTAGCACGATTTCTAACGAGCCTATATGACATAAACAACGATCAACGATCAATCTTTCCTAAGACAGCTAAAATGTGTACAACAGAGCCACGACTGTATGTTTTCACGAACGCCATTACTTTGCTGTCGTAAAGCTATAGGTATCGTATTACAAATGTGACAGGGCCCCTGCCATACGTGGCCAAGGCCACAGCTAGCAACATGACTTGTCGTGTGTATGTCTATTTCTGTGTGTGTGTCTATATACCTACCTGTCTGTCTGTCTGTCTCATTCTCTCTCATTCTCTCTCTCTCTCTCTGTGTGTGTGTGTGCGCGTGTTTACTATCGGAGTATCTAATTTCTTCAAGTTGTTTGTCAAGTCAAGGTGTAGGGTTCGCGGCACCAAGCAAAACATGTCATTAGGTATCAATCCAGGTTTTGTAGCTCAATGAACCCGTGCTGTTACGCACGCGCACACGCACCATTCTACATTTCACAACGCTTGGAAACAAGTCAGAAAAACTGCTCGAACTCATGAATTAGCAGAGCAAAAGACGTCACACCAGTAGCTTAACACGTTTTTTTTAATATCATAAAAAATATAAGTAACATCACAGCGATAAACAGTCAATATCTCAAAAGTCCTAGCACCTTCCAAAACTTGTTTGGGACAGTGAACAATAGTACAATGGCGGTGTGCTGGTGTGTTACGCCGAAAGGCGGTTATACCGGCTGTACAGATACAGATACAGAATGCATTAACACGTTAAGCCCATTACGCAAGAAACTTTATTTTTCACCATGTTCAAACCCCAATTGCACACGTTAACGAAGAATGGGTGGTATGCATGTAAGACAAAGGACGTTTTACAAGTAAAATGGCTTTGCTTATATTAAAGGTCCTAGAAACCCATGAACATTCGAACTATACATGCACACAGAGCGTTACTAAATATGATCTCTTACTTTTTCTGGTTTCGCCACATTCCACCTGACTTTGAATGTACCTCAATTTACCTTTTTTTTTCAAAGCCACAATGTCACAACAAAAAAATGCATTAAAATTTTGTAACTGGGATCTCTATGTTAAACACCTATTAGTAATACGTATCTGCCCAACGTCGTGTACCACCCCCTCAGCCCCACCCGCTATTGTTAGTCCTGCTGGAATGCGGAAACCTGTGAGGAAATCTATGTTTAGCATCAGACACTTCCTGGCCCTTCCCTAATTTATATTTTGGTATTATTTAAATAGTTCACCACAAAACAAGGCTCAATGGAACCACTTAAATGTTTTGGGCTACTGTACAGCCAATGAGGACAGATGTTTGATGACCTTAGACTTGAAAAGTGTAAGGTTATACCCATATGGGAAATAATCATGTGGTAGCTTAAGCTTGTTCCATAGTGAAGTTGTTCTAGGTGGTGGTGTACGGAGGAAGAAAGGGTGATTTGCTTCAGTGGAAGTGTCCGTGCTGAGAATGTTTTGTCAACAAACATTCTCAGTGATATTAAAAAGTAACGCTTACGTACTTTCCACCATATCCTATTAAGTTTCCATACACTGTACCATGACAGGAGTTTGTGATTTCAGAATGAATATTGCAGCGTTGGAGACTAGTTGAAGTTTCAAAGAACATTCAGAGATGGATATGCATGCATGGCGTTACCCTGGATGCCAAACTAGTATCGGGCCGTTAGCCGTTTTCCTTCGGCAGCCGAGAGCCCTTCGCCCGCCTGCCTAAATTACCGCTACGGGGGAGTTGAGCCCGAAGGGGTTTGTCCGGCCAGCCAAACTCCCCCGGGCTAGACTCCCCCGTAGCGGTAATTTACACCAACGGGCGAAGGGCTCTTGCGGCCCGGAAAACGAGTTCTGGATTCCAGGGTAGCCTGGCGTCGGTGTCACACATGGTCTCTACCAGACCAACAACATGGGTTCACAAAACAGTAAAATTCAGCCAAATAGGAATCGGGGGAATAACTAGCAAGGGGAGTTTGGTCACTGTAGAATTCATTTGCGCGCCCACGAACTGACTCTGCTGGCCAATTTTTCTTCCCCCTTTTGGAGTGACTGAAAATTCTGAGAATATTCCTGGATATTTGAAGGGCATTCTAGAAATTCTCACTACGTTCCACATATATATTGCTATGGCCGGCCCGAATGTTTTCTCACAACACTGCAGTGAATTGGGACTTACTCCAAATTTTCTACATAAGCGATCTACACAAGAGCTAACAGACCTACCCTGAACAGAGACGGGGGGCGACACAAGTTATCTGGCACGTATGTCCCGCTACTACGGTCACGTGTCTCTGACGTCGCGTTCCAAGAGTAGACGGGTCCATTCCGTGAATAAGGTTGAAGGAGTCAGCCGAAAATTTGGTTTATATATATATAAGTCCCAATTCATTGCATTGTTAGCAGTTACTAGTAAAGTTAAGTCTTTATTTCATAAAGACTTGTACCAACACAGATGAACTTCCATGCTACTGTTACGTTTGTTTCAGGCGATCGGGAATCACGAGTTTGATGACGGGGTACCGGAGCTGAACAGGTTTCTCCGTCTGACGAATTTTACCGTGTTGAGCGCCAACATTGATGCCACCAGGGAACCGGAGTTCCAGTCTCTCTTCAGGTAAACAAACAAACAAACAAACAGGCAGATGGATAAGAACACAAGCAAATAATATTCACATGTTTTCCTTTGGAAAACTTCGTTTAGGCTTTAGAATACATTTTCAGCCTTGTTGTATTGATGAAAATAGCAAAAAATTGTGATAGAAAAATGCATTCTACAACATGCACTACCATCTGTTTTCTTATATTTTTCTTAAATTTATGGTTTATCATGCAATTGCTCACTCTTCAACTTGCTTCTTTGTAGGGTGTAGGAATTGTTTGGAAACAGTTAAAATTGATGCCTGCGTGGCTATGTAGTCCATATGAACAAATCAGTATGGCCTTAAGCCTTGGGTGAACACAAATTTTGGACTGCTTCCCATTCATTTTTGTATGGACTTCTTGGGTCAATATTTAGACATTTAAATACAGCAATATTTCAGCAATATTTCCCCTGTTCCTTAACAAGTCGGTCGGTGACGCTGAACGTAGGTGGGGAGCGGATTGGAATTGTGGGATACACCACCGAGGACACTCCCACCATTTCTAAACCAGGTCAGCCATTGGTTATGTTTACCTTGCTCTGTTTCTTTTTCCTCTTCTTTTTCTCCAAACATGTGACGTCAATGACCTGTACCAGACGTCTGTCACCATGGTAACGGACAGTGGTGCCGTAGCAGACGCTTATTTCTGTCTCGTACATGGTCGTTGCCATTTGAAACAAAACGGTCGATGCCATATGGCAGAACTTGATGGCACACTCTACGTGTATTAGAACGCTCCGTCAACACCTTTTCATGGTGTAGAGCATTAGGGTTTTAGAATTAGCCTTTTTTGACCCGGGTTCGAGTCCGAACTTGAGCTCTTTCACAAATATCTTTTTACGATTTTTAAAGCCCCTGTGTACATTTGTAGTTGAAATGTTGCTTTTTATACGTTTTCAATATATTTGCCTCTCAAAAAAGTTATGACACGCTCGGATATGGCGTCGACCATTTACTGATATGGCATCGACCGTTAACTTTTGAAATGGCGATGACGTCCGTTTACGAGATTTTATAGGCATGTTTTGATGATTTCATGGGTACGTTTTGATATGAAATATGTATCTGTGTGTCAGTGCTACCAAGGAGATTCAAACATGTATTTGAAGCTCCTTGGTGTTACCACTTGTTTTCTTAAGGTTAAATACCATCGAAATGATGAATGCAAAACTTAAGACAACATTCCCGCACCTGTAGGCGACACCGTGTCGTTTAAGTCAGTGGTGACGTCAGTGCAGGCTGAGGTGGACAGGTTGACTCAGCAGGGGGTCAACAAGGTCATCGCCCTGGGTCATGCGGGTAGGTCATGTGTTTCTAGTTCTGTCAGTCACGATGCATTCCCGTTAGTGTTGCGTATCTAAACATCAGGTACAAGAACAGAGGTTTAGGTATAGGTCCGGACCTTTACCTATACCTGAACAATATGACAAAGGGATATGCGTTCTGTCCGTGGTACTGATTCATACATAGGTGGACATGCCTGTCCGTGGTACTGACTCATACATAGGAGGGCAAGTCGGTCTGTGGTACTGACTCATACATAGGTAGACATGCCTGTCCGTAATACTGACTCGTACATAGATCGAAATGCCTGTCCGTGGTACTAACTCGTACATAGGTGGACATGCCTGTCCGTGGTACTAACTCGTACATAGGTGGACATGTCTGTCCGTGGTACTGACTCGTACATAGATGGATATGCCTGTCCGTGGTACTAACTCGTACACAAGCGGACATGCCTGTCTTTGGTACTGACGCGTACATAGGAGGACATGCCTGTCCTTGGTACTGACTCGTACATAGGTGGACATGCCTGTCCTTGGTACGTACTCATACATAGGTGGACATGTCTGTCCGTGGTACTGACTCGTACATAGGAGGACAATGCCTGTCCGTGGTACTGACTCGTACATAGATTGACATGCCTGTCCGTGGTACTGACTTGTACATAGATGGACATGCCTGTCCGTGGTACTGACTCATACCTAGGCGCACATGCCTGTCCTTGGTACTGACTCGTACACAGGCGGACATGTCTGTCCTTCGCACTGACGCCTACATAGGAGGACATGCATGTCGGTGGTACTGACTCGTACATAGGAGGACATGCATGTCCGTGGTACTGACTCACCACTATAGCCTTACACGTTTCAATGCCTGTGCCCCCCCCTCCAGGTATCCATGTTGACACAGAGGTTGCGTCACGAGTGCGGGGTGTGGACATCGTGATAGGCGGGCACACCAACACTTTCCTCTACACAGGTGGGTGTCACACCCTTACACTAAACGGTTTAGTGATAGTCGTTGGGTTTGAAGTATCTATTCATTTTACTTTGCTTCCCTATTTTCTGTTTGTGAGTGAAAAGCAGCTAGGTCTGCTCAACTACCGAAGGGCTATATGGATAGTAATTGCAAAGGGCTATCTCTAGAGAATGGTAACATTACACAGAATAGGACGAAACGCAGAATTTTGACAACTATATCAGCTCTATAAGGTACATGAGACCAGAAAATTCTTTCATTGACAAAAGCAGTTGATGACTTCGACTCAGAATCATGTATGATAGGAGTGTTCTCATATATGAGTGTGCCGTGAAAGGCATTTTTGGCGACGCCTCAGGTGCGTAGCTTCCAAATGAAGTGCTGCTATCAAATAAAAAAAGTCACACAATATATAACATCTATGCACTCCTGATGGAGTTGTTGTTCCTTACACTTTTTGGTAGAACAGATGCATTTTCCTTTAATTTTGACTGCCCACAACGCAATTGAATTCACAATGTTTATCCTAGGCCAAGCACCAAATATAGAGGACCCCGCCGGTAACTACCCGGTGGTGATACGCCCTATCCACGCCCCCTCGCGCCCGGTGCTGGTAGTGCAGGACTACGCCTTCGGGAAGTATCTGGGTTACCTGAAGGTGAGGTTTGATGACGCCGGAGGGCTGGTCCACTGGGAGGGGAACCCCATCCTGTTAGACGACACTGTTCCGAAAGGTGAGCTGAGGTTCTACTACTCGTTCTATATACAAAGTAAAGAACACAAGAGACATTTGTAGCCCAGACGTTTTTTTCAAATGTTCATTCATTATACAGACTGTTTCTGCACTGTGCTGAAATTTCACTAAAGTTTACTACACATATCACTCAGTACGGTGGCCCACAATGATAACTTTTTTTCTGCAAAAGCCATTTTGTGAACGGCGCACAGGAAAGTTTCGTGAGTAGCTAGTTTACGTGAACAACGAAAGTTGTCCTTATGGGCCACGGTAATTCCGACTTTCCCTTCTGTGGGACAGATCCTGACGTCTCTGCGCTGGTGCAGACCCTGCAGGCCAGCCTGATCAACAAGACATCGCAGAGTATCGGCAACACGCACGTCGTTTTGGAGGGAACCAGCTGTCGATTCGGAGAGTGCAATATCGGTACGTATCAAATGTTTGTTTTTGTAGTCAGATTTCAGCAATGACTTTAAACTAAAGTAGAAAGGCCGACATATGCTTTGTATAGAATACAGCATGGCTTCACCACATTTTACAACATGTGTCCACCGATTTACAACCCTACAGACTTCTTTTCCTGGCCAGTACTTGTAAAAAGGCAAAGTAATTATTCTTATTATAAGTATGTGGAACCATACGCAGGTGTTCATTTAGCAGTAAAGTAATTAAGGGAACAACCAATCAGCAAACACATCTGCAAACACGCAGGCATGCACCTGCTGCCCATATTTGGGCATTGAGCCCTGGCCCAAATGAGTTAATCCAATTTAACCCAGCACCCAATCAGCAAGAAGATTACAACTGCCTTACTATCTCAATAGCTGCATGCCTATTGGCGGTTGCTCTCTGCATTCCTTACTGATGATGTCATTCTATACAGTAAGTATACTTCATAATTTGGCATAGAAAACAGTCAAAAGCCCCAAATTATTCAATGTTAAAGGGTTGCATGCCAAAGATTATAATGAATTGTTGTTGGTAGATATATAAAGCATACCCATACCAATTTTCAGCTGATTTGGGTGTAATGACAGGTCTGCACATAGAGGTGAAGCCATAAATATGCATAGCACAGTCGTAAAACTCGTCGTAGTCGTAAAAATATTTACATGTACCTCAAGTCTGTTTCATATGGTCCAAGACAAAAAAATTAGTTTACGCAGGCGAACACTTGGTAAAACATCAAATCTCGCAATATTTCGTGAGTTGTGAGCGTTGCCAGAGACGACGTAATCATGGCGCCATTTTTTTGTATTTTGCCACCAGGTAACCTGATCACAGACTCGATGTTGCACCAGAATAACAAACATCCGGATGAAGTCGGTTGGAATAACGTCGGCATCGCCGTACACAACGCTGGTGGGATCCGTTCAACCATAACCCAGGGTAAAGTTACTTACATCTACATTCATTGTGTTTCAGCGTATGCGTTTTAGAAAGATTCTTTATAATTTGAAGAAAATAATCCACTTTGAACTACTACTACTACATGTACTACTACTACTGCGAAGTACTACTGTCACAACTACTACTACTACTACTACTGCTAAGTACTACTATCACTACTACTACTACTGCGAAGTACTACTATCACTACTACTACTACTACTGCGAAGTACTACTATCACTACTACTACTACTACTATGCGAAGTACTACTACCACTACTACTACTACCACCACTACTACTACTACTACTACTACTGCGAAGTACTACTATCACTACTAGTATTACTACTACACAAGGAAACGCTCAGTATATGTCAGACGTTGTTCCTATGTACACACGTTGAATATTCGTCCAACTCTATGACTCTCTTCAGTATTACTGACCCAACACATCAGTCACGTGACTTTGTACACAGGTCAGCGATGGCTGAAAGCTTGTGGCATCCTCCGTCACAGTTGATTCGCACCATGATGTTGCTATAATGGAAGTTCCTCACATATTATTTTTTGTTTATTTATTTTTTGTTTGTTTATATTTATTTTCTATGAAATGTTTACAGGTTCCATCACAGTTGGAGACATTGTGGGAACGCTGCCCTTCCAGAACACCATCGACATCGTGGAGCTTCGCGGGGATGACGTCATGCGGATGCTGGAGCACTCCGCCAGTGTGATCGGCAACCCCAGGTTCCTCCAGGTGTCCGGTGCGTTGGTAGAATATTCGCAAGATATTGGCCGTGTTTATGTGAAGTCACCCAAGGCGCTTTACATGTGGTTTACCCCGAAGCCGGTTTCAGTGGCTCCATCTGAACGCTCCAAATCACATTGAAAGCGCCCTCGATCCCAAACCACTTCTAGAGGTGGTTTCGAATCGGTTTTCCCACATCGCCATTTGCGTCTGAACGCAAGGTGATTTCAATGTGACTTCGCCTGGTCATGGATTACGGGATGATATTTCTTTCTTTATATGCAATACCAACTTTTACGTGGCAGCAACTTAAATAGCAGTATAATGGTCAAATAATGTGTCCGTTCTAGGACGAGCTTCACTGCGTCTGGCGGGACCACGTCGGCATTCGGCCGAGATACGCTGGGAGGGGGCATCAGCAAGCAGGTCCTTGACCTCTGACAATAATAACACGCTACCTTGCGTGTTTTCATCAAACAACAGTAAATGTAGCTCAAACGAATTGTGATCGGACACGGTTTCAAAGGAATGTGTGGCACGTGGACCAGATGTGAGGAATGCGAGTTACATACCCGAATCGCGGTTTGGGTGACTTCACATAAACACGGCCATTGTATAAAGAAGCAAAACCCTTTGTTACATTATCTAGTCCTAAAGTAACATTTACAAAGTTGAAACACGGAAATTACAAGTTTGATACTAGACGAGTTTACAGAAACTTTGTCCTTTAGATACTAGTATGATGTAGTTCGAGTAAAAATTAAGAAACAAAGTTCGAGTAAAAATTAAGAAACAAAGTTCGAGTAAAAATTAAGACACGAATGATCTTTGCCCTAGATGGTTTGTTCTACAGTCTAACAGCATCACATTGAACCCTTTATGTTTAGTAAAATCCGTGACCCCACAAATCAAGGGTGAGAATGTCAATTTCTCTCAGCTATTTTGGGAGAACTAAGTCCCTTCCATTGCCTGCAGGTCTCCGAGTCACCTATGACGAAGCCCAGCCTGCGGGACGGAGGGTGGTGAAGGTGGACGCCCGCTGCAGCACGGACTGTCTCGTACCGGAGTTCCGCCCGCTGAACCTGTCTGCCGTCTACAGGGTGATCATGCCGACGTTCCTGGCGGACGGAGGGGACGGCTACACCATGGTAGCGGAGAACAAGACAGCGCACCATATCCCAGGTGATCTGGACACGGACATCCTGATAGAGTACATCGCCGCGCGGTCTCCGCTGTCTGTCGGTCTGGAGGGGAGACTGCAGGTCATCAACTCATCACAGACACCTGCAGACACGTGCCCCACCTCGGCTGCCGGTACGAGACTTCTTGTTTCCCCTTGCTCACTTTTTACCCTCCATGTAAATGGGGGGTATTGTTTTTACTCCGTTTCATGTTTGGTCTGATATCTGAAGATCGGTGAGAAGGAACTGTATGATATTTGGCAGATTGATGGATGGGGCCTTGGAGATTGTGTAGGTTGACTTTGAGCACCTGGTGATTGACCTTGGTACTGCAGTTTAATTTTTTATTCTATTGTTGGCACGTTATGGTCCGTGTGTGCGATGCTAAGGTAACATGTAGTTGTGGTTACAATGGTTTAGTGATGTAAATTTGGGCCCGCTAGCTGTTTGCTTTGAACCGGAATTGCTATCTCAATGTCAGATTGTTTGCGTTGAATGATCTCAGAACCCGGTGGATGGTTGGCGATCATTTTTGGTATGTGGGTAGACGCTGATTGTCTTTGCGTTTTAGCGTGCATTAGCAGGTTGTCGTAGATTTGCATTGCTTATTTAAAAGGATTTTCACATTTTCACCCCTATTTCAGAATAGGATGGTCTGTTTGACCCCAAATTGGTACAGAGTGTTTTTGTTTATACCTCCAGCTGGCAGGTCAGGCCAATCTATTTTTACCTCTAGACCATGTCTGCAGGAAATATATCTTATCTTTAATCGGTCATTCAGCAGGGAACTGGGTCATCTGTGGTTTGTTAATATGTTGTGCTTGAGAGGTCATTGACCTCAAACAAACCATGGTAACAAGACACTAAACGCCTGCACATGACAGCTTGGGCAACCCCTTCCAATACGAAGTGCCACAACAAAATTCTTAAAGGATAGACATCTATAGACATCTATCATTCTGCTGATAAAACAAAGTTTGACTCATAATATCTCTATTAAAATACACCAAAAGATTACAAAATAACAAGCTATTTCATGGAGGGACGATGTCTACGACTTCTCCTTGTTTTCTTCATTTTTTATCTACTTCGTGTTCACCGCAAACCAAGTCTCATGGGAGCCACTCAAATGTTTTGGGTTATGTACAGCCAGTGAGGACGGATGTTTTTTCTGCAAATGGTATCATACTGTCTTACCAATTTACTGTCTTGCAGCCACCAAAAGATCTGTTTGTAAAATAGAACCTAGCGGGTAAACTTGTGTGATATCATCATGAGATTATACACATACGCATTTATAATTTATTCTAAACTTTTTACATGTCTTTATTTTTCAGTCACACCGCCTGCCACGACCGGTGATGGTGCAAGACGTACTGAACCGGAAGGTAAGGGATAGATGAGTTTCATTAATTAATTAATTAATTAATTCATTCATTCATTCATTCATTCATTCATTCATTCATTCATTCATTCATTCATTCATTCATTCATTCATTCATTCATTCAATAAAATTCCCCCTTAGCCACTTATTTGAATTCGCTGACTAAATCTTATTGCATATTCAGTCCTCATTCCATGTAATGACGATTTATTCATTTATTTATTCATTTATTTATTCATTCCGGCATTGGCCATTCTTGAATTCTTTCTTCCTACCCTTTTTTCCTTAATCTGAATTCAGTCTTATAAACTAGAAAGGTAACATTTGCAAATGCAAATGCATGACGTTTACCTTCGCATATGGCCTGCTCTGTTAATGCTTACTCAAACACATTCATATATATGGTCAGACATGAGTCTAAATCCCTCCTGCTATAAAAGGTGTAACCGAGCACCAGTTACCATGGTGACAGACGTCAACAAATCAGGTCATTGGCCGGGTCAGAGGTTTTGGAACGGAAGAAGAAGAAGAAGAGGAAACGTAGCAAAAACTATATGCTTTCCTTTGGTAAACATAATCAATTCATTCCTCCGCTCATTCACTCCTTTCCCAGACGACCCTGGAAAGACCGTGGGCATCATTGCGGGCGTGGTCGCGCTGGCCTGCGTCATCGCCGCCATCAGCGCATGCGTCGTTAGGCGCATGCGTAGTCGGAGAAAAGGGTTTGACATGACAGCTCCGTCGTACAACATGGACCACGCCAAGCAGCGCCCGGCAGTCGCCATGGAGACGGGAAATTTGAAGTGATTAAACGTTCTGACCAATCACCATCCATCCTCAGAGCCTTCTGACCAATCACCATCCATCCTCAGTGTCGACATAGCAAAGGACATAACTGAACTAACCGTAGGGTTGGCGAATACTACCTTTCGCAAGTCGGGGCCTCAGGCCTCAATTAATCAACCAATGTACCTATCCATCCTCTACTTAATTAATCAATATATTGATCAGTTTATTACTGAATGGCCAATCTGTTAATATCATCGATAGGGATAAAATAATGGCAATGAATAGCAATGTATGTACTAGCATATAGTCGCTACCTTCAAGAAAGGTATATCATACTTCATATAACGTTTAATACATGTACGTTCACTTTTAATACATGTACCTTTTTTTACGAAGTTAAGTTTCTAGTCATTTAACATAGTATGTAGAATCCAGTCATCCAAGCTTTAAAATGAGTCATCTTATGCAGAATATCTTTTTTTTACCTTTTATCAACTATCAGAAATCTGTACCATTTCAATGTTAATCAAAATTCAATGTTTATGTACTGTTAACGTAGTCTAGCTCTTCATGAATTCATGTAATAAACCGCTCAAATATGAAATGCTTTTCTCCTGACCTACACATTTTTGAAAGTTGTTGATTGTGTATATATAATGAATGAATGAATGAATAAAAGACCCTATTGTACGTTTGTGCTCTAACAAGTTAAGTACAGGTCATGAATAAACAGGGATAACACTTACAAACTATACATACTAATGTGATCTACTATTTACCGGTTCAACTTCTCGTTTCTTGACGCAGTTAAAGATGTACGAACATATTGAGCTAATGATACATGGTTTGTCAAGTTTCATGAGGGATTCGATTTTTTCTATTCCGTCTAAATGTCTAAAGCTTGGGAAATTATCTATTACATAAGTATAGAGGGAATCCCTCTATATATATCCTCCTATATAATGTGCAGTAAACTACAAAATGGCATTCATCTTCAACATTATCTAGAATACAAAATTGGCAGATCCTTTGCTGTAGAGGAATGTGGTTGTGGCTGCCTTTTTCTATGTGGAGTTTGTGTGAACGTATCAGGAGTTTTGTGATGGCTGTTCTGTGTCGAATGTTTGTAATCATCAGATATTTTTCCTCGTGGTAAGTATAATCAAACTGCCAGTACAGGGTGAACCTAATCAAATCATTAGATCAGAACCCACGGGCCCTTTTAAAGGATGTTTTGATATGTGTACTTCAAAGCATTGATTGACAGCTATAAAAATTAGTCTATAATGCGACGAAAAACAACGTTTGAAATGAAGTACCTTAAAATGCTATACGCATAAAGCACGTGTTCATGCATAGAGAACAGCTACTGTAACAACAAAAAAACATTTTGCGTTCAGACTAATCATAGTATTATTTGTCATATTTACCAGTTTTTACTGTTAAAGATTGCGGACTAGTTGCTTGCCGGTACAGTGTGCAAATTTTGGGCAAGTAATGCCAGACCGTACCGCCACCACCGGGCCCGGCAACGGGCAAACAGGCGAGCCGCCGCGCCAAGCCACTTTTGTCCACCAGGACACCACAAGCGACGGTGAAGACCACGTGTATGAGAACAACCCAGACATACATGTGGCGTCCTCACACAAGGGAAAGGCGTATGATCATGATGAGACCGCATCACGCCCTGACGGAGTTTGTGGTGCAGGAGATGCAAACTTACATGACAAGGCAGCGAACAAAAGCACAGGTAACGACTTTTCTTGATTTTTCATACATTACTACAGCGTGTAAAAGAAATATTAGATTCTAGTGGATATTCTTATTTATTCTATTCGTGTAATTCTACTTGTGATATCAAATCTGTATGCACCATGTTAAGGTTAAGAATTTCTGATATGTATATACAAACTATTTCCCACAAGTTAAATATTGATTCTGGTAAGCTAAGGTTCTACAAAAAATGTAAAACAACATATTCTATGGAAAAATACCTGGACTTAATTGATTTTAACAATCGCTCTGCAATAAGTAAATTACGAATTATATAGTGCACACCCTCTCGAAATTGAGAGAGGGCGGTACAAGAAGCTCCAAGTGTATGAACGAATTTGTAAACATTGTGCGTTGAATACGGTGGAAGACGAAACGCATTTTATATCAAGTTGTACCCTCTATAGCAATGAACGAAATGAACTCTTTGACGTAGCCTCTAAATTCTACCCAAACTTTCACACATATACAAATGAAAAGAAAACCACTCTCCTCTTAACATCCGAAAACCCACAAATTATAGAAAAAGTGGGATCCTTTGTCTTCCTCTGTCTTCAAAAAAGAAGTCAAACCCAGTAGTTTTTTACCAGTAGTTTCTTAGTAGTTATCAGTAGTTCCATATGTACTAATTGCCTGTTTTTATACCATATTTCTTCTGTTTCTGCCATTAGCCCTCGGGCAAGAATTTGCAATAAACAATTATTATTCGATGGCGGCGCTTATATAAGCGTCGTCATCGCTGTCTTGTATTTTCTTTAATAATAATAATGATAATGATAATGATAATAATAATAATGTAAAACATATGTCATATGTGTATGCATGTATTTAGACTCCAGCCGCACATTCGGCCGGTGCCACTACATCGCCACTACCATCGCCATTGTCGCCCTGGTCTCTGCGTATGTCTCTTTGATTCTGTACATGGACGCTCGGTTCCAAAAAATGGAAGAGGTAAATAGTACCTGAGGACAAACTTGTGTTTTTAGCCCGCCTTTCACATATTTAGTCAAGAGCCATAAGCATTTTGACTTTGATGGGGTGTCCATATTTGACATAAGGAGTCTGTTTATTTATGCAAATCCATGCAAATTATGGATGTAGTGTGTAAAAATAAAGCAGTGTAATATTTCTATAATATAACTGACGCCCAACTTGGCGAAAATTTCTACTGGTGGGAAGGCTAATTTTCTGAGACACAGAAACCCATGTCATGTCACGGTACTGAGCTGAAAATGAGGAAGGTGGGCTACGTTTCTCATTTTCAAGGCCTCTTTTTGAAAATTCTCTCCTAGATGCTGATTTTACGTAGATACACAGATATTCACCCATGACATATGATTAGTAAATATTTCTATAACTTGCTTAGATTATCAATATTTAAAGTCTTCAATTTTACAAAATCACAAAATCAGTGGCCAATCAATGGCTCACAGCTAGCAAATTTCTTGTCACTGACTTAAACATTTCTCTTTTGAACTATTTAGCGAGTGAACATCACCGTGGCAGTCGCAGTGAGCAACGTCTTGGAGCAGCGTCTGCACGAGATAAAATCAGGCAAGTTGGGTGTATTTATATTTCCATCCACTTACCTTAAAATGTAGGATCTGAGGTACTGCTTTTCATTTTTGGTATGTTTTGTTTTACGTGTCTATGTTGTCCAGTGTATATGAAAATTTAGATTTCAAATAATAAGCCCTCTCTCCACATGAATATGAACTCAACTCAACTATTCAAACTATGGTTACCAAGGATAGCTTGAACAGCACATGCCAAATCACTAAGTAATAGGACATGTACAAAAAGGAACTTGTGCCTACTAACTGCAAACAAAACTTTCAGAACACTTAATCAGTACACTTAATCAATATGATTACCTTCGACAATAAGATTATGTTTTTGTGGCCGGGCTCGTGTGTGTGTGTGTGTGTGTGTGAACAGCATAATTCCAGAAGTTAATAATGTATCATAATCATATTTGGCATATAGATAGGGATTGCTATGAGGAAGAAACGATTCTATTTTCGGACCCCTAGCGGCTTTTTTTGTTACTCCAACAGAACATCCGGGCCCGGTTTGATCTCGTGATCTGGACACGATAGTGTCACGATTCGCCAAAAAGCAGTTACTCAAACAACTGGATATGATTTTGCTTGAGTAACTGCTTTTTGGCGTATCGTATTACCTGGATATCTAACCTTCATCGACGTAGTGTCACGATCATCATAAGTCAACATCATCAGTCAGAAATCATGCAAATCAAATAATATATGAGCAAGTGCTAGAATTGCTGTCTGAAGATCATTTGCGGAAGGTATTAGATGTGGAACTCTAGCTATTAATGTTGTGATACATTAATGTTATGGTAGTTATTAATGTTATGTTATATAGCGAGGCAAACTCATCACTATGCTGTTGTTGGCCTCCTCAACTCAAAGAAGATACTTAGCGTTCGCCTGTCTATGTTTGCTGCAGCTTTCCCTGTTGAACCACGCGAACCGAATGTCACCCATGACATATGTGTTGGACCACCCGGACCAAAGGGAACAGCTGGATCCCCTGGGAAGGCTGGTTCACCTGGGTCGATCGGACCAGTGGGGCCTCCTGGGAAGACTGGGTCACCTGGGTCTATCGGGCCGGTGGGGCCTCCTGGGAAGACTGGGTCACCTGGGTCTATCGGGCCGGTGGGGCCTCCTGGGTCTATCGGGCCAGTGGGGCCTCCTGGGAAGGCTGGGTCACCTGGATCGATCGGGTTAGAGGGCTCTCCCGGGAAGCCTGGGTCAACTGGGCCGAAGGGGCCGAAAGGAACAGCTGGGTCCAAAGGACAAGATGGGCAACCTGGGCCAATGGGCCCTCCTGGGGAGAGAGGGCCACCTGGGCAAAAGGGTTCTCCTGGGCGGAGTGGGCCACCTGGGCCTCCCGGAGAAAGTGGCTCACGTCGGGAATCGGGATCCCATAGATGGGGTGGGAGGCATGGAGGCTGACTTACGTATCAGTGACAAAACAGCAAGTAACATCCAATAAGTAAAGGACCACAGGCCATTGCAAGGATGATATCGTCGTCATTATTAGCGAAATCTTTGAGAAAATATGAAAAAATGGTAGCACTAATGGCGAAAGGCACCTTTCATAAGTGGTTAGATGATAGACATGATGTGTTCTATTTTCTTATCTCTTCCTTTATTCTTTCCAAGGCATACAGCTGTGGTATTAAAGAAAGTTGCTGAATGGGGCAAACGTTAAGATCTAAGATCAGGAAAAGGCAGATAATACGATGGTTACAAAACTCAAGCATCTTAAGTCTCAATGGAGTTCTAACGAAAACCGCTAGGGAGCTCAAAATTATATTTTCTCTAGTTACCAAGTATTGGTCATGGAAATTAATCTACAGCATCCTTAGTGATGTTATTTACAAACCAACCAGCCTGTGCCACACCAGAGAAGCTGAAACATGATATATTCAACGAGAGGGAACACTCACGTAATGTGACGTACTGACCCAATGAAGAGCGAGGGATCGTTTCACGGTCGGAAATGTTGCTTCCGACTAGTCTCCGTAGCAGGCTTATTTCTGATTAGCGGGGGTAATTCAACCAGGCCGGCTATGTTGTCTATATGCAATCAGAAAATAGCTCATAAAAGCTCCCAAAGTCCCTGAAGACCCCCAAACCCCCCAGTTTTTGGCATACTATGGAGGCTAGCTTCCGACACGTCCAAAGAAGCTGTGAGTGCAGTATCCTGGTTAACACACCCCTCATCTTTTACCTGACAGCTTTTGCAGAAGAAATAAATGAAGGCAATGTAGACGATAGCGGTGTTTTACATATGTAAGGGATATCCGGGCTTTACGCTGAGCACCAGTGCCTTTCGTTCCATGGTTGGGTGTCAGATACGTTACCATATGAATGAAAACCATGCAGATGTCAGGATATACCAAGTATTGATTAAGGAAATCAATATATGGTATCCTAAGTGATGTCATTCACAAACCAATCACCCTGTGGCATCACGAGAATCCTCATTTTAGGCCCAGCTTAAAGCATTGCGGGATTGCGTAAATGTTCACTAGTGGGAAAGATTACCTTTACTTTGAACTTTGAACTTTCTTTGCTATTGGCCACCCTGAACCACAGCAACATAGAAAATACAGTTTTAAAATTTTCAATTACTTAAAACAAACAAGAGACATTAAAATTGCATTGAATGCAATAAAACAATACATTTCATAAAGCATCTGTACAAATAGATGAGTATTAAGAATGATATAACCAGAAGACAAATTTACTATAAAATCTAATTAACTATTATTTTAAAGACTTATCTCTCATCTCAAACACTGTATGCAGGCACTTCCCAACTGTCTTGTAAGGGGTACAGTTGGGCCGGATAATAATTCTATAAATTTGTGGGGATCAGGGCCCTCTGCGTAGAAATCGGGAAAATACAATGTCGCTTTCTTAGCGAGTTGTAGAAAGGACATTCGAGTACAAAGTTGCAAAAAGAAATATATTGGACCCAACCTGGAGACGTCCAAGGGGCCGCCCTAGGGCAAGATGGGAAGACCAGCTCTTCCCCACACTTGGGGAGCTGGGTGTCAGAGACGACTGGAGGGTCTGGGCCGAGAATAGATCATCTTGGCGGGACCTTTGCGGGACTGTAGCCGCTATGCATCAGACCATGATGCCCGCGGAGGATTGATTGATACCAATGTCGTAGAATGCCAAAATCAAACGAAAAAGACGAAAATGTAAAGAAATGACTTTGAAGTGTTGATTATTCGCCATACCATACTCTGTGTCATTTGTTCAACTTCTATAGTCAGCTCCAGACTACCTGAGACAGTTTGATACATTTTTGACAGCGGTAATTAGAAATTTGAGCACAAAGCTAGTTTGTCAGAAGCTGAAAGTTGCAGATAGTATTGCCTTGATTATGTAATTTTAATTAAAATTAAACTTATCTGGATCATTCTGCACAGTTTGTTTGGTAATGTTACTTTGAAGACCAGAAGAGATCCATTTGTCACGTATAGATACAGTTACTAGAGGATTCTTTCAACAGTGACAAGTTGAAAGTGTAAAGATACTGACCTCCAAATTTTCGATGACTATCAGTCCATCTTGTTCACGGAGTGGCCTAGTCTCGAACCAGAAGACCAGTAAATATTTCAATCTGTTTAAAGAGGTTATAGTCAACACTTGCATCTCCTTCATCTTGTCAAAAAAGATTGACCTGTCCAGTATTATGCTAATCTGTTCCTGCCATATGCTAATCTGTTCCCGCCCTCGGGATGTCTACAAAGTCATTGGGAGGGCGGGGCTGTACAAACTCCACATAAACAAGCTCCGCCCATCTTGATTGACAAAATATCGGTGTGTTTAGCCATATTCAGCCTGTTCCGCCAGGCCGTTATACATTGTAAGATTCAGATTTATAATATCGTTGAAATAATTTCAAGAGTTCACAATATTCACCTCATTAAACAACGTATCTATTCCGTGATATCGAAGTATGTGCTTATTTGCTTACTCGCATATTTTTCACGGCTCTTGGTGGCAAATATGTAGATGGTGGCACATTGGCGCACCAAAACTGACGTGCACATGTGTTTCGGCACACATTTTACAGATTAGCCGAAGAGGCTCGATGGGCCTCACTCAATCAATCTATCTATTCATCTAGTATCCATCCATCCATCCATCCATCCATCCATCCATCCATCCATCCCTCTCTCTATATAAATATATACATATAGACTGAAAAATAAGTTCAGAAAATCACTGAATTATGACAATTTACTTCTTTGAGTTTTTAAATCATTTTTTTTTGTGCTTTCAATTTTTCATCAGTTGATTTGGCCTAAAATGAAGAAATTCAGAAGGAAAAGAAGAAGAAGAAGAAACTTGAAAGAAAACAATATACTTCACCTACACTATAGTATGGGTGAAATATAAATATTGCACACCATATATATACAATAAACATTACTGTCCTGACGTGTCTTGTCTTGCCGTTACAAAATCAGTTTATTTAATGTTTCTTCCAAATTATTTGCATATATGTATGACCGGTAACGTTAACCTGCCCTGCCGGACTACTAGTATTACCGGAAGATTTGCCTGTGTGCCAGAGTATAATCAATGCTATCTCCTCGGTTCCATGGCCAACATGTCCCGAAGGCCATCTTACCATGCCCTGAAGGGCATTTTTCGCAACAGCCTGGCTACCAAAAGATCGGCTGTCAGAACATGAACGCTCCAAACCGGTTCCGATGCGATTTATTCTGAACCACCTCGCGAGGTGGTCTGAAACGATACGATACGATTCGCATTCGTAGAATTGTAATGATCATGAACGCGCGGATGCGAATCGTTTCGGTTCGACGCTGTACTCCCGGGTACGTGGGGGCCACGGTCGGTCATAGTTTGCGGCGCAGTGGCTTGTACTGCCGAAAATTCTACTTGAATCGTACACTTGACATCGAGTTCTAATTACTGGTCGACTGAGGAAACAGGAGTTCCGATATTGACTTGGGTAAATCAGGAGATCCAGAGGAAACTGGATGGTGTGTACTAGAACCTACCCTGGGCGCAAGGGCGAGTGGTAGCCCAACGGGGGCGTTGGGGCGGCTGACCGTGGGGGTTTGCGCTAGATGCGTCCGGGGCACAGCCTATGCCATGGGGAGGACATGAGTCGGGAACGGGCGACCACTCGCCCGGACAGGCGTAAACTCTCCGCCTTACGAGCCGGGTTCTCAGGAAATATTCAAAGAAATTGTGATATACATATGAAATGAAAGTCAATTCGAGGTGTGAAACCGTTTCCAGTATGGGTTCAAGTTTTGAATCACGGACGCAAAAATATATTCCGCTTCGATTCGGATCGTGGCCAAACCGGAACACATTTCAATCATGAATTAAGCGAGCCAGGCCAGTAAAACACCCCAAATGTCCACAAACCTACGTTTCAGGGATCAAACGTTCAATAAAAAATGTTGTGTGTGCATATATTCCCCATACTTCTACAAATAAAGGGTATGATGAGGGTATGTTGGAAATGCACATTAAAGGCGCGACGTACATGTAGATACAAAATATACTTGTACCGAAATCCATCCACTGTGGCGTGCCTCCCTTAAACATGGCTCAAGTCATAATGTATCGTCCCGAACACGAAGCCAAATACCTGAAAAGGTCAAAGTATCAGGTAACAACCAATTGTAAACATCATCCCGTGACTCACCTGTTGAGCCCTACCGCGCAAACTCAAAGAAAGTGAAAGCAATTCTTCGTGGGTTTTGTTCGAGTCACGAAGACTTTCTCTTCCAACTCTTGTCTGGTTTGAGACGAACTGCTGGTAGACACAACGACGACAGCAAAACTTTGGTTACTTGAAAGCTTCAGAGTAGTTTTGGCCTGGCATCGACTGGCGGAAGTGGCGTTGTTAGTGTCGTGCAGACGTCTGTGGCGGAGCCCGGGAAATTTTCACCTGATCTCTACTCGTACCATCCACCGAGTTGAAACAATTTGTAGGGTTTTCAACATTTTGTTTTTCAAGAGATTAACAATCCGAGATTTGAATCCCTGCATTTTGCTGCAAAACGGAATTTGGAGTCAAGTAGGACATACTAACAGCTACAGGATCGAGTGAGAAAAACTGACCTGCTCCCAACAAGCTCTTAAACAGCGACGTCAACGGGTCAATCTACACAAGACCAAAATGGCGTCTAATGATGGAGACCAAAGTCCGGCAAAGGACTTCGACGATACACAGTCAGTTATTTCGGAGGCAGACTCTGGCCGTGGTCTGTCAGTTGCTGACGTCTCGTCACCGGACGGAGAAAACCAACGCCATGTTAGCACAAACGAGGATCAGGACGAAGAAGGCCCCGGCATGGCGGTTAGCGAGACGGACACTCAGCAGGATGGCCAGAGAGCCCCTGCCCAAGAACCGTACAGCAACGAGAGAACGTCACACGAAGGAG